TTTTAGTATCCAAGCCCGGCCCATATTGGGCCAGTCCATGGATGCACCATGGATAGTCCAGCCCATGCGGAACCCTACCAAGCAGAGCCTTATTTTCAAGATGGTTGATTAATAACTTAAAATTAGCATCAATTTTCTCTAAGAATTTTCATAATTTTATAATTTTAGCCAAAAATCTGATTAATGATTTGGCATTCCAAAGAATTGCTAATCCAATTCTAACTGTAGGACGAACTGGAATTAAAACATCAATTAAAATTTGTCTTACTTTAATTGGATTAAAAGTAAAATCATAAATTTGTACAATTAGATTCTCATTGTGAACTTGCAGAGTAACATATTCAATTTTTTCAAGCAATTTTTGAATAGATTGGGACATGTATGAAGGATCAAAATCATTACGAACATGAGTTCCAGACATCAGCATTGCTAATATAAGCTTTGCCTTATCACTATTTTTCTTATTAATCGATGAATTTACCGGTTTACTTGATTCAAGTGATCCGATTTCCATCTTAAATTTAGGGAATGTACTTTTACATATTAATTGGCCATCAGGTTATTTGTATTACATTCATTGAAAAATGGTCAGCATTAAGATTGACAAACACTAATTCTTCAAATTTACGATTCGAAGATGGTGAAGAAAATTTAAGCCTTGCACATGGTGATGATAAAATAGAAGTATTATTTGAACATAGTGATGATGGAAATTGAAGATTCTTTACTGTTTCTACTGGCTTCTCAACTTGAATCTGTGAAAGTTTCATCTCTATATCAATTAAATTTTATATTAATTAGTATAAAAAATAAAAAATATATATATAAAAGAACTTGAAACATATAAATATATGCTATTTAAAAATAAAATTGTTATACAAATATACACATACATCTTAAATTTTATATACTTTAAATCCGAAGCCAAAGCTCTGAACAGCAGATAAAAAGCTTCTATATGCCAGGATTTTTCTGACATGTCTTCTATAATAAACCCTACAAATTTCTTTTGGATATTTTTGCTACAGGAGAATTAATACAAAAATTTATACGTAAATATAACAATTAATGATAAATATACTTACAAAGCATTTACAAATTCAGTAATCCATAACTCATCTTCAAATTGCGCACACTCTGTATCATTTATATGGATTTTGATCCATTCAGTAACATTCAAATTAAGAGGTTCAGGAAGGATAAGGATTATTATTATCTACAATCAGATAGTATTGATCGTTGATACTGTCTAGCTTAGCGTCACAGATTCAGGACCTTGCAATATTTGTTTAATTTGTTTAATAAATTCGATCAAATATTTTTGTTCTCTCATATGTTTTTATAGTTTTTATTATAAAAACAATGAAGTGAAACAGCAAAAATATATAATTTGCAATGTTATTCCGTATAAAGTCATGCAAATAAAACACATACTAAGCTTATCGTTATATCATAATTTTTATATCTTCGGCGATGAAATTATAAAGCAAACAGAATTATACATCAAATAAGCAACAATTTTTTTTGGGATCTGTACCAGAACTAGTGCATACGTACAATCATACAAAATGTTTGGATGTACTATTTTCTTTTTTGGCTCACGATGTGATACAAGAGCATAAATCAACAAATCAAAATATAACGGCTTAGATAAATTGGAAATATCCAAAAGCAAATACTAAACAAACACAACAAATACTAAACAAACAAAAAACTAAACAAATACTAAACAAACACAAAAATGATATCTTAATGGTGTTAAAATTTATTAAATTATGAATATTGTAATGACAATAATATAAAAATATTCTATGAAATTTGAAATTTGTGCCAATAAAATAATGATCAAGTGTAAGGATCTCTTGCAGTGTAGGTGACCCTCCTATATAACAGTAATCAATTGATTAATAGAGGAGTCATCTATACTGTAAAAGTTCCCGGAAATTTTAAAAAAAGTTCTGAAATATTATTCCCATTATGACAAGTTACTAACACAGTTTACGATTTTAGCTCTTCTAATTTTTCTTTAGCATCATTATTACCTCTCGAAGCTGCTAGGCTTAAATACTTCAATGCCATTTGTTGATCTTTTTGTAAATAATAAATACCAAGATTATACTGAGCGACATCATAACCATTATTAGCTGAGAGTGTTAGGTAATTAATAATTTCTTCTTTTGTTTCTGAATCAATTTCTTTTTTTGATTGCAAAGCGAATGCATAGCGAAATTGTGCATATTTGACACCATCATCGGCAGCTTCTTTAAAAAGCTCTATGGCCTGTTCGAGATTTTTTGAAACATAATGTCCTTCCCATAAATAATAGCCTTTCCAATACTTTGCAGTCGGACAATTAAGCTTGGCGTTCTCTTCAAAACACTTCCATGCTTCTTTATAGTTACCTTCATTGTGAAGTTTTAATCCTTCTTCAACTCGCATTACTAAATCCATTAACCTAACATTTTTATCATCACTCTTTGTCATTGAAGAATCTTCTTCTATATTAGAACTTTGTAGTTCTTCGGATTCTGTTGGATTATCTTGTTTAGGCCCTAAACAACTGCTAGGGGAATGATCGCTAGGTGTTGTGCATTCTGATGCTATATCATTAAACGATAATGACAACTTTATAAAATCTATTCGTTTGGTTGGCAACTGTTTCCATGCTATTTAATTAAAACAAAAAAATTAAAATTATAAAACGCTTAATCAGATACCAAAAAAATAAGTATTTTATATACCTTCCGAAATAATTTCTATTAATTTTGATGCAATATTTTCATCATTCTTATTGTTAATGTTTTTCATTTCACAAACGTTTAAAGTTTCTCGATTGCCACTTAATACATGTTTTTTTATTTCTACAGGTTTCATCTTTTCATAAGGAAATGTCTCATAACAAAGCTCCCATATTAGCATTCCAAAACTATTTAAAAAAAAATTTTTTTTTAAATACAATGCAGTATATTTTAAAGTATAAGATTGAAAATTTTATTATATAAACTACAATACCTGAATATTTCACAATTAACGGTGTATTCGTGTTTTACTTGAGAAAAAATGCATTCTATTTTTTCGGGAGACATCCAATTTATAACACTGTAAAATGTTTCTTTCATGTCTACAGATTGCTCATCTTTCCTACGAGAATAATCAAAATTTGTAAGTTTTGCCTCCATATTTTTAGTAATCTGTTGAGAATTAAAATATAAGTATATAAATATTTTGATGTTTGATAAATAGACTAACTAGATTATAACGGGTATATTACCATCACATTTTCACATCTAACATCATGATGAAAAATATCAACGTTTTTTAAAAAAATAAGACCCTCACAAATGCCCTGCAAAATTTGAACTTTTTTTGGCCATGAAATATTATATGTGCTGTAAAAATCTTTTAAGCTTCCATATTCAGCCCATTCAAAAACCATTAAATCTTCATTGTTTGCATATGAAATGCCATAAAAATGAATAATGTTTTGAGGGTAGCTTAGCTTTGTTAAGATTGATAATTGACGGAATGGACCACGGCCTTTGGTAGGTTTAAATGGTTTACATGCTACTTCAATATTTTTTTTGTATAACTTTTTAAAAACGGAGTTATTGGAGATTTTTTTTTCTATAATGGCAGGATCACTTAAGTCTTCTGAATCAATGACTGTTAATGATTGGTTATGATTACAAGATAATTCCTGAATAGTTATATTGTCAGTACTCTTTTTGTTATTTTTAAGATACTAAAAGGTTTAAAATTAGCATAAGTATTATATAAGTTAATTTAAATACAATAAATTACATAATATTATATATACTTTATCAAGATTTTCAAATTGTTTTATAACTATCTTCATATCGATCATGTGCTGAACTGCGTTTGTTATTGTTACGGTAGTATTCAAATCACTCATGTAATCGTCATATTCTTTCATTAACTTATCAAATTTTTTTCTCGCATAATTAGCATTCCAATATTTTTTTATTCCCTTAAATTTGGTTACTTCTTCCGCAAAACTCTTGGCCTGATTTAACGTATTTTTGAACCTCTGAGTGGCAAGATAGAAATTTCTTTCTGAAAAAACTGGGTTACTTTCAGAAAGTATTTGACAGGTATATTCGGTATATTTTGTATTTTCATAAATTTCAACCTTTTCTTGAACTATAATCTTGGTGATAGTCTCATGTTCTTCACTTCTAGATAATATATCTAAGAAATATTCCGCAGTCTTAGTTCGGTCAATTAATGCTTTGGCAATATATTGATTGCATTGCGCATTTTCATAAATGGTCGTTATGTCTTTAACTATAACCTTGGTGAGTGCAACTAGACCAATAGTAGGTGCAAGTGCCATTGTTACTGTTTATGTTTATTTATGTTTTTGATAATAAGTCGGTTTATTTACTACGTGAAGGTTTAAAAATTCCTGTATTTATGCATTTTTTTGCAGAATATTATTAATTACTAAATTTAGAAATTCGAATAACGGAAAATCGGAGTTTTAAAATAATTACGTATTACGTATTACGCAGAATATAGCGTAACACGTATGAATTCTGCGTCGAGTTTGTGGCGCTGATTTGCAGATAGCAAAATTCTTTAATGTTTATCGATGTTAAAGTTTATATTAGGATTAATATTAGCAAATTATATTGTAAAATTGCTCAATAAAAACTTTTAATTATAGCATTAAAAGTGATTTTTTATGAAGATTTTTGAGAAATACCGATTTTTGACAAAACAAACGTTCTCAAACCGTGTTACGTTACGCCTGGCGCAAATTCAATACGTGCCATATTAATAATATGATGTAACCAATGTAATATGATGCAACTTAATTTCCGGTTTAATTATGGGTCGTAACTATACAAATTTATAAATTTGTTAATTTGTGAAAACAATCGGACTTTCTAACCGTTGCCACTGATCGGCTTGTGAAAGAACTAGACGACTGAAATTAAATAAAACATAATCCTTAACGAAATAATGGCGGATTATGAGTCATTGTGAGTCATTGTTACTTTAAAAAAAAAGAAAAGGAACAAAGAAAAACAAACCAGAAAAAAAAAGGACAAGAACAAAAAAAAAAATCAAAATAATAACATCATAGTTCAAATATGTTACACGATTCTTAGTATAGGTAGTAATAATATTATTTCGGTTCTTTGTTATCATGTCTGGTTTTAAATCCGAGTCAAGGTAAAAATAAATACGAATTTAAATTTTCACTGCATCAGTATTCCAATCGTTTCATAATATTTTGAAAAAATGATATAATATTAAGTTACGTATGACATGATTTTTCAGAAGTGAACTTTACGGGGTACATCTATGTACCCCCCGCCCGATTTGGGGGTCGTCTAAAGCGGAGGCACATCATGTGATCAACAGCCAATCAAATGATAGAATTTTGATGATCGCCAG